AACATGAAAGTTCTAAATGTGTGTGTTTAATGTCTTATTTTGCCCTCAAGTTAAGTAAGCGCAAATAAAGTTGGAAACTAAATTAAAATCATATTACAAAACATATAGGGAAAAGGTTCATTTGAGAACGTCACCCAGCTGATTTATTACAGTTATCAGCTAAGATTAATGCCAGTAATTCACTTTCTTAAAATCTTAAATATATCATCATTGTTTGAATTGCAAGGTTCTACTGAATGGTTGATAAAGACTGACTTACCTCTCGACTTTGTCTCAGATTAAGACGAGGCTTCGATACTGCTTTAGCGAAGAGCAGAATCCAAAACAATAGTATGTCTAAGACATAGGAAGCCATGATATTAACTTGGTGTCTTATCTTCTTCATACCCTTTGGAATGTTTACAATGAATCGTACGAGTTTGGACGATTTTCCCGCCATCAGCTGATTTGATGACAAAACACGTGTGATTCAATGAGGCGATGTGACGTCATGGTGTTAGTGTCACGTCATGGCGTCACGTCACTATTTGGCAATGTGATAGACTGGATTACCTGTCTTAGTACAACTTTTCTCCGCTAGGTAGCGCTCGTTGAAACCAATGAAATGAAATAAGGATTGAATGAGTTACAATATAGCCAGGAAAATAGACTTGTTGAATTCTAGAAAAGTTGAGAGAATAAGGAAAATGTCCTCGAAGAGCAGATCGATGCTCTGATTTATGTACACATATAGGATACTTAATAGTATAAGAATAAAAGTCTAAAAAAGAAAATAACTTAATAATAATTACAGGCGTGACAAAACTGAACAAGTACTATTAACTGGGCGGGGGTGGAAGGGGGCTCCAAAATGTCTTCGTTTGAGTTTAGTCATTCCCAAAAGACTATTCGGGAACTTACGATCCAATGAATATTTTTCAACACACTTAAATTAGAAATAAAACTTTGTATGCTTAAATATCTCTTAATGGTGTTTAATATTTGGAGACAAATTCAACGGTCATAAATCGCCTCAAGTCGTGATATTTGTCTGACCAAAAAAAAGTGTTTCAAAATCAAATATATATAAACTTTATTTGTTTTACAAAAAATTGCAAAACAAGTTATTTCTTCTTATACCAATCACTGTTGATGGCCCGGGTGTAAGCGCGCAAGGGGTCTTATTGTGTGCCGGAGTATCCTCTGATGGCCCGGATGTAAGCGCGCGAGGGGTCTTATTGTGTGCCGGAGTATCCTCTGATGGCCCGGATGTAAGCGCGCGAGGGGTCTTATTGTGTGCCGGAGTATCCTCTGAACTTTTTACGTCCGGGAATCAAACCCTGGTGAAAGGCATCAAAATGAAAAAATATCAAATAGGATAAGGTCACGAAATATCAGCGGCACAAATATCAAACTCTTTGTATCCCTGGAACCATTCTCGATACTCCGGGGGTTACGATCACAATTGCTCTCTGTACCCCTGGAACCGTCCTCGATACTCCAGGGGCTACGATCACTTTCGCTCTTTGTACCCCTGGAACCATTCTCGATACTCCAGGGGCTACGATCACTTTCACTCTCTGTACCCCTGGAACCATCCTCGATACTCCAGGGGTTGCGATCACTTTCGCTCTCTGTACCCCTGGAACCGTCCTCGATACTCCAGGGGCTACGATCACTTTCTCTCTCTGTACCCCTGGAACCATCCTCGATACTCCAGTGGTTGCGATCACTTTCGCTCTCTGTACCCCTGGAACCATCCTCGATACTCCAGGGGTTACAATCACTTTCGCTCTCTGTACCCCTGGAGCCATTCTCGATACTCCAGGGATTACGACCACTTTCTCTCTCTGTACCCCTGGAGCCATCCTCGATACTCCAGGGGTTACGATCACTTTCTCTCTCTGCACCCCTGGAACCATCCTCAATACACTGAAGATTCCGTGTGCGACACCTTGTGTATCAGCCTGTGATTTTTTCTCCTTTTCTCCTAGAATCAATAAATGACTTTTTGTTTTGACATGACATCTTCCAGGCATGTTGAGAGTGAAAGTAACCCCTGGAATATCGAGAATTTCTGAAAATTAACTGGGTCTTGAGAAAGTTTGGTTTCATTCAATATCACGTGACGTCCTTTTAACTACCAGGGTCATTTAATGAGGGCTCCCAGTATATCTGAGGCGAGTGTTTGTCGAGCGCGTGCTTTCAGGAGGCTGTGACATGCTCATGCATGCCTCCTTGTGATCGTCTGGAGCCGATATACCTATCATTGTCCCCGTTATCACCACTGGATGTGGCCTGTAGAATGAAAACCTAGCTATGATTTTAAAGTATTTCAAATTTCACACCCTCCGTGATGTGTCACCAGTGATCCATACTACATCTGTACACTGTGATCCATATTACATATGTACACTGTGATCCATACTACATCTGTACCCTGTGATCCATACTACAACTGTACACTGTAACACTGTGATCCATACTACATCTGTACCCTGTGATCCATACTACCTCTGTACACTGTAACACTGTGATCCATACTACCTCTGTACACTGTAACACTGTTATCCATACTACATCTGTACACTGTGATCCATACTACATCTGTACACTGTGATCCATACTACATCTGTACATTGTGATCCATACTTCATCTGTACACTGTTATCCATACTACATCTGTACACTGTGATCCATACTTCATCTGTACACTGTTATCCATACTACATCTGTACATTGTGATCCATACTTCATCTGTACATTGTGATCCATACTTCATCTGTACATTGTGATCTATACTTCATCTGTACATTGTGATCCATACTACATCTGTACATTGTGATCCATACTTCATCTGTACATTGTGATCCATACTACATCTGTACATTGTGATCCATACTTCATCTGTACACTGTGATCCATACTTCATCTGTACACTGTTATCCATACTACATCTGTACACTGTTATCCATACTACATCTGTACATTGTTATCCTACTACATCTGTACACTGTGATCCATACTACATCTGTACATTGTTATCCATACTACATCTGTACACTGTGATCCATACATCTGTACACTCTGTACACTGTGATCCATACTTCATCTGTACACTGTGATCCATACTACCTCTGTACACTGTAACACTTTGATCCATACTTCATCTGTACACTGTGATCCATACTACATCTGTACACTGTGATCCATACTACATATGTACACTGTAATCCATACTACATATGTACACTGTGATCCATACTTCATCTGTACACTGTGATCCATACTACATCTGTACATTGTGATCCGTACTTCATCTGTACACTGTGATCCGTACTACATCTTCAACACTGTGATCCATACTACATCTGTACCCTGTGATCCATACTACCTCTGTACACTGTAACACTTTGATCCATACTACATATGTACACTGTGATCCATACTACATCTGTACATTGTGATCCATACTACATCTGTACATTGTGATCCATACTTCATCTGTACATTGTGATCCGTACTACATCTGTACACTGTGATCCATACTACATCTGTACATTGTGATCCATACTACCTCTGTACACTGTAACACTTTGATCCATACTACATATGTACACTGTAATCCATACTACATATGTACACTGTGATCCATACTACATCTGTACACTGTAACACTGTTATCCTACTACATCTGTACACTGTGATCCATACTACATCTGTACATTGTGATCCATACTACATCTGTACATTGTGATCCGTACTACATCTGTACACTGTGATCCATACTACATCTGTACATTGTGATCCATACTACATCTGTACACTGTAACACTGTGATCCATACTACCTCTGTACACTGTTATCCATACTACATCTGTACATTGTGATCCATACTTCATCTGTACACTGTGATCCATACTACATCTGTACACTGTGATCCATACATCTGTACACTGTGATCCATACTACATCTGTAACACTGTGATCCATACTACATCTGTACCCTGTGATCCATACTACCTCTGTACACTGTAACACTGTGATCCATACTACCTCTGTACACTGTGATCCATACTATATCTGTACACTGTGATCCATACTACTGTCTGTGACACACGTCTTGTTTTATCACAATTACTGTCTGTGACACACGTCTTATTGTATCACAATTAGTGTCTGCGACACGTCTTGTTGTATCACAATTACTGTCTGTGACACGTCTTGTTGTATCACAAATACTGTCTGTGACACACGTCTTGTATCACAATTACTGTCTGTGACACGTCATGTATCACAATTACTGTCTGTGACACACGTTTTGTTGTATCACAATTACTGTCTGTTACACACGTCTTGTAAAACAATTACTGTCTGTGACACACGTCTTGCATCACAATTACTGTCTGTGACACACATCTTGTATCACAATTACTGTCTGACACACGTCTTGTTGTATCTCAATTACTGTCTGTGACACATGTCTTGTTGATGGTCACAATTACTGTGTGACAATCGTCTTGTTGATGTCACAATTACTGTCTGTGACAAACGTCTTGTTGTATCACAATTTCTGTCAGGTCTTGTTGATGGTCACAATTACTGTCAGTGACGACACAGGTCTTGTTGATGGTCACAATTACTGTCCGTGACACACGTCTTGTTGAATGTCACAATTACTGTCTGTGACACATGTCTTGTTGATGTCACAATTACTGTCTGTGACACACGTCTTGTTGATAATCACAATTACTGTGTGACATATGTCTTGTTGATGTCACAATTACTGTCTGTGACACACGTCTTATTGATGTCGCAATTAGTCTGTGACCAATGTCTTGTTGATATTTTCTAATAACTGTTTATAGACACATCTTATATCATCCTTACTTCCTGTGACACAAGTATTTTTGTGGCCTATGTTGCATGAAGTGTCATGAGTTTTGTTGATATGACACATGTCACTGTCCATGTTCTATAGCTACATTCATTATCAATTGACTAACACATAACAAATTGGCTTATAGCAAAGACTTTTATTTCTTCAATCGTGTTTAACAAAACTGGCTCTCAAATATATTGTCTTGATTGTTGTCTGTATTTCCAAATGCATGATTCTTACTAGACAGCAATGAAACATTGTCAAATACCTTATTGACTTATTTTCCTTACCTAAAACCATGTCAAAGTCAATTTGTAATAAGATACATTGGGAATGGTGTCAGTGATCTTAGCATGTTCCTATTACACACTGGTGTTAGTGACGTCACTGTTACTAACTTTTGATCAATTATACTACAGATTATGTTGAAGTCTGCTATCTATGGTAAGCAGACATACGTTTGACCTTTACAAGGTCGCTCTGCAACATGTGAAGAGATTTCTTGAGTGTCGGTAGGTCAGTTAACGGATTCTGTATCGGTGAACAAGAGTTATCTCCCCTCCCCATCTCTGCAGACTCCAGCGCTGTAAGATAAAATTTATTACATTATTTTGTTCTACATATCACAAATAAATGTACATTGGTTCACAAATAAACATATTTATTGGCTGTATGTTGAACTATGCCTATGCCAACTATGATATTTATACTGACCAATGACCTAAATATACTGACCTTTGACACTAACTGATTATCTTAATATATTGATCTTTGATCTAGATACTGACATATGACCTGGAAATAGTAAGCAATGACATAAATATCCTGACCTATGACCGGAATATACTGATCAAGGATATGGATACACTGACCTATGACCTGGATGAAGTGACCTATAATATGAAATTCAGAGTTGCATGACTGTAATGTGTATGTCACATATTGACAAAGCTATATGTATATGCTCACTCACAATCTGTTATAAATCCCGACTGGATACTGACCTATGGCCTGTATATTTACTGACCTATAACCAGTATATACTGACCTATGACCTGTATATTTACTGACCTATAATCTGTTTATTTACTGACCTATGACCTGTATATATACTGACCTATGACCTGTATATTTACTGACCTATGACCTGTATATTTACTGACCTATAACCTGTATATTTACTGACCTATAACTAGTATATACTGACCTATATACAGTATATACTGACCTATGACTTGTATATTTACTGACCTATGACCTGTATATTTACTGACCTATAACCAGTATTTACTGACCTATGACCTGTATATTTACTGATCTATGACCTGTATATTTACTGACCTATAACCTGTGTATATAATGACCTATGACCTGTATATTTACTGACCTATAACCAGTATTTACTGACCTATGACATGTATATTTACTGACCTATGACCTGTATATTTACTGACCTATCACCAGTATATACTGACCTATGACCTGTATATTTACTGACCTATGACCTGTATATACTGACCTATAACCTGTTCCTCAATCATGTCAAGTCGTGAGTCGACCTGTCCTTGGACCCTCAGTATGTGTTGCAGAAGATTCCTCTCACACAACTGGAATGGATCCTCCTGCTTAACAAGAAAAAAACAAGAAAATACTTTTCAGGCTTCTGAGATTTACACCAACACAAATCACAAAATCATTGTTCAGTATAAATTGTTCTAAATAAATTAAATATATGTAACCACTAAATGGTGGGGTTTGGAATGAAGAAATCATTTCAAAATGTCATCATGAATATGGCACAAATCAAAATTAGGGCAAACTGTTATAAACGTTCATCAATGACATCAAGAAAAGGCAAAGTTTGTTAAGGATCAACTGTGGCCCCATAAGATGGAGTTAAGTCAAGCTATTAGCCAAACTTTAGCAGATGTTTGTTGAGGCACTAATATTAAGTCTTACCTCCACATCACGTCCATCCAAAACTTCTGCCTTTACTTGTACTATCTGCCCAAATGTCTCAGGCTTTTTGTCACACATCTCAGTATTTGTGGATTGACTCACTGTTGACTCACTGCCTGTGGATTGACTCACTGCTGGGACATTGTCTGTGGATTGACTCACTGTTGGGATGTTGTCTGTGGATTGACTCACAGTTGGCTCACTGCCTACTGATTGATTTGTCGATTGACTTACACTTGACTGACTCAATGTGGATTGACTCACAGTTGACTCACTGCCTACAGATTGATTTGTAGTAGATTGACTTAAACTGGACTGACTCAATGTGGATTGACCTGTGTCAGATTCACTGGATGTGGACAGACATGACTTATTTTCTGTGGATTGATTAATTATGGATGGACTCACAGTCGGCTGTTTCTCTGTCAATTGACTTTCTTTATTTTCTGTTGGACTGTTTCTCATTTCACCAGGATCTTTGTCCGTCCCAGGGACTATACCAGATGTATTGTTTACACTAGGCTGAAATGTCCCAGTACTTTCATCTGAAACTTCAGACACATCTACAGGTTCTGATTTCATAACCAGAGGTACACCTACACTGTCACTCTGTTCGGCTGGAATATTGTGGCTGGAGGGTGACAGAGTTTCTGTTTTTATGCTTGTCTCTAATTGGTCCTTTTGTGACACCAAAGAATCTGTATGCAATTGAGATTGGTTTATTTTGGAATGCAACACTGAATCTGATTGATTCATATCACTATCTATCAACAAATTTGATTGGTTGAATCTGCCATGCCCTGTTTCCTCTGGACACAATTCTTCACTATCTAGATCTGTGGTCCATATCTTGAACTGTCGATGATCCTTATCTCTGTAAAATAATCAAAGCTATAAATAGAAATCGGTAGATATAAAATTGTATTACAACCATGAATAATTCATAAAACAGTAAACAACTGGCTAAAGGATGGTAATTCCACTTTATAGTGTTTATTGTACAGAAAACTTACTGGGAAAAGATTCCAGAGGTGCGTGATTTATCAGGCACAGACATCAACAAACAATGACAGTAGTCAAACTCAGATTGAAGGATTGAAAGCCACACCTTCAAACCTGATCAAAATCCATCAAAATTATTAACGTTATTGCAGTGGAATTAATAAGTCAATCAGATATGATGTACCTAATTAATTATGCATAAAAATCAACAATGTCTTTAATCAAACTCATGGTGAAAGAGAGAAAAATACACTCAGTCTGGCAGACAAAATTTTACCATAGTCAATTAAATAATGAGTAAAACTCTGATATCCTCGGACATTTTTTTTTTATTTCGTTATCAAATCTTACCTGGACAATTTGATTTCCTCCTTAAGACTGTGTAGCACTGTGTTTATATTGTGAATATCTGATACTAGATTACTAGTAGCTTGAATAGTTCCTGCCTTTCGACTGTCACGATCCTGATAGTTCAGAAATCCAAACTTGGTCAGATTTCCATGCTTAATCCAATCTTGTTCATGAATGTATCGACAACTTTCTCTCACACCTGTTGATCATCAAAACCAATATTAACAAGTATAAATATGAAAACAGAAAATCATCAGGTACATGTATAGGGAACACCAATCTATAGAGATGTACTATAATCAACAAGTGGCCTTAGACCCTTGCCAGTCACCTGAGATAAGCAAAAGAAAGGTTAAAGGTGACATTGATGATAGTTAGCCAGTGTCAATATCTGCATATCATCAAAACTGTCATCCTGTACTTACAATTCTTACAAAGTTATTTTCGTTTGGAAATAACCAACATTATGCTCAAAAATGCAATTTTTCTATGAAAATTACAATTCTAATACCAAGTTTCAACTTAATCAAATAAGATCTTAGATTTGAACAATCAGCCACCTCCAAAGTGTTTCCACGGTAACGGTTTCCAACACCTAATATGTTAAACTATAGGTTATAATTAGCTGTAGCATTTGATCAAGTTAAAATGGAAAGTGAAAGGCACAACTATATATCATAAAGATAGTGATATTGAGAAATATTGCTTCATTACTTTATTAGATACATCTACAAAAAGGGGAATAACTCTATCAAATTTTGTCAAAATTTTATCAAAAGTAAAAGGGCTTTATGAACTTTATATCATAATAATGTAGTATGCCATGTTTAATCAATATTACTTCCAATCAGCACTTTTTTAAAAACACTTGACACAATATTCTGGACAGACGATAGGATCGTCAGACATTCAGATTCCAATATACCAACCCAACCCAAACCCCCAACCCCCGACCCCAAAACTTTGTTGCATGGGGTTGATCAGATAACCAAAATTTCTAGCAGAGATGGACAGATATCTGATTTGACACCAATGTGTGGAGATATATAAAATTAGTTAACCACAAATTCTAGCAGAGATGGACAAATAGCTGATTAAATTACCTAAGGTATCATTCCAACAAGTGCTCAGGAGATGTTTATCAGTAAATCATTCCAACAAGTGCTCAGGAGATGTTTATCAGTAAATCATTCCAACAAGTGCTCAGGAGATGTTTATCAGTAAATCATTCCAACAAGTGCTCAGGAGATGTTTATCAGATTTATCAGTAAATCATTCCAACAAGTGCTCAGGAGATGTTTATCAGATTTATCAGTAAATCATTCCAACAAGTGCTCAGGAGATGTTTATCAGATTTATCAGTAAATCATTCCAACAAGTGCTCAGGAGATGTTTATCAGATTTATCAGTAAATCATTCCAACAAGTGCTCAGGAGATGTTTATCAGATTTATCAGTAAATCATTCCAACAAGTGCTCAGGAGATGTCTATCAGATTTATCAGTAAATCATTCCAACAAGTGCTCAGGAGATGTCTATCAGATTTATCAGTAAATCATTCCAACAAGTGCTCAGGAGATGTTTATCAGTAAATCATTCCAACAAGTGCTCAGGAGATGTTTATCAGATTTATCAGTAAATCATTCCAACAAGTGCTCAGGAGATGTTTATCAGATTTATCAGTAAATCATTCCAACAAGTGCTCAGGAGATGTTTATCAGATTTATCAGTAAATCATTCCAACAAGTGCTCAGGAGATGTTTATCAGTAAATCATTCCAACAAGTGCTCAGGAGATGTCTATCAGATTTATCAGTAAATCATTCCAACAAGTGCTCAGGAGATGTCTATCAGATTTATCAGTAAATCATTCCAACAAGTGCTCAGGAGATGTCTATCAGATTTATCAGTAAATCATTCCAACAAGTGCTCAGGAGATGTTTATCAGATTTCCAACAAGTGCTCAGGAGATGTTTATCAGATTTATCAGTAAATCATTCCAACAAGTGCTCAGGAGATGTTTATCAGTAAATCATTCCAACAAGTGCTCAGGAGATGTCTATCAGATTTATCAGTAAATCATTCCAACAAGTGCTCAGGAGATGTTTATCAGATTTATCAGTAAAGGAAAGTTGTATGACTACCTTATAAACAGAATGTGACTAGGAATCACTTTTATTTTTAATGTACTCAATTATGACACATAGTGTGTGCCTTTTTACCTGTTGGGTCTGAACACACAAAACAGATGTATTTCTTTGGTAACGTCTCCACTGTAAGGTCAAAACAAACGGCATGCTGCCAGCACAGGCACACATCACACTGTAACAAAAACATCCAGTGGATTATTCAGCTGAATACTTCAGGAATTACAGCATACTATTCTAGACTACAGTAATATTGTAATTTAAATCTCAACTCTGGGACCTGTCTCTAAATCTGTCTCTGACCCTTAACATTGCATATTCATGTTCTAGCTCCAAATTTGGTGAAAACAGTGCTAAAATTGCGAAAATTCTATAAAAATCAACAGTATTTCACTATAATTCTTAAACTTGATACAATTTTCGTAAAACTAGATCATTAGGGTATGTTTATGAACAAATTACGCAGAGGCACATTGCGGGGAATCTTAATAGTTTATTACATTATAATAATATGGCTAAGGGGCTAGTACAGCTGTAGTGCTTCAGTATTACCCGGCCAACAAGTAAATGCTTAAATAGACGTCAAGATATCAAAGCTGCTGGCCGAGCTATGTACCTGAAGAGAGGCAACTTAACTATTTACTGCCAAATAGAATTCTTGGGGGACTTACGAATTACATAATAAAGTAAAATGCCCAAATTGAAGATGTACCACTGCTAAAATGGTACATTTTTACCTCAACCAAAAAGTAGATTTTCTCTGTTATATATTGACCAACCTGAATCATAAGTCCATTTTCCTCATTAAATAAACAGATACAATTGACCACTTCATCCTTGCTCAGTTCATCCTCCGTCTCTATGGACTCCTCTGTTGCCGTTGTGTCCTGACTACAAGTCCTCTGGTGTTTCATATCAGCCACTTTAGAATCAACCTCATCTGTTTAACATCAAATCCTACTGTATTGAACTTCCTATCTGTTGTATGATCTGTTAAGCCAACACTATGACACACTAACCCCTCTGATTTCCTCTAAATCTCCTAGTATATCTTTATTTGGGATATATGACATCACATGCCTCGCCTCCCTTCAACCCAATCTGATAATCAATAATCTAGTACATGTGCTGATTGATTGTAATTTTTTTATAATCAATCATCAGAATCTTTATATCTTCTGGGTTTTTTAAAAGCAAAATTCATAAAATTCATGTTGTGCATCATTAGGATGTCAATAGACAATAATATTCATTCTTACATAAATTCGAGGTACATGAGGTATCTTAGGTTTGAGAAACAAACAATAAAATATTACTACAACAGAGAATGCCTTCACATTCTATGAATATTGAACACACAGTCAGGTGAGGTAATTATGTTATCAGTTAGTTGTATGTGATCAGTCCAATTTCATCAGACCATTAATTATGGATTTTAACTGGTTTTACATTACTACCAAATATATACTAGTAGTTGACATATCCTTACCCCAAAATCAAATGCTTCCCCCTTTCCGATCTTCCTTTGAAGTTGCCCCATCCTCCAATCTCCAAATGGTTCCCCCCTCCTTAAAAATTCTCCATCATCCCTCACCTAACCAAGATGTCCCCTCCATCTAATCCCTCCCTTTCCTCCAACCTCCAATGCCCTCTCCCCTCCACCTCCACATAACACATGTATGGGTTAACATATCACCTGTACCTTCGACAATGTCCACAGTTACACATTCCTGGACATCAGGTGTTGTTGACAGGGCGTCCATGGGGTGTGCCTTACTGACAGGTGTCATCTGTTTGGAGGAAGATGACACATCCGAGTCTGTAGAACCTAAAGGAAGAACACGTCCAAACATTAGACGACATCTGAACAAATGACTGATTAAAGTTTGCACATTAATTACTTTATCTCTATTGCTTTATTTGAAATTCTGCTATTTTACAAACATTAGACGACATCTGAACAAATGACTGATTAAAGTTTGCACATTAATTACTTTATCTCTATTGATTTATTTGAAATTCTGCTATTTTACAAACATTAGACGACATCTGAACAAATGACTGATTAAAGTTTGCACATTAATTACTTTATCTCTATTGATTTATTTGAAATTCTGCTATTTTACAAACAATTAAAGCAATTTCCAAATATAAAGGCCAATAACTGCTGAAAATTGTGAAATCATTGAGGAGTACAACTAGTAGTCCGAGACTTCATGGTTATAATTATATGATCTCTCACAATGGCATCCACCATCCTAGGCCAAGACATAAATCAAAATAGCTACAATTTTATATTCTAACCTCCTACTTTCAGATTGTACATACATTTCTTGTCAACGTTTTCCACAACAGACCATCAAAATCTAACTTCATAAAAGTTAATGGACAACTGTTTGTTTGGATCAAAATAAAGTTTAAATTGGTAGAAATTGTACTGAATAAATAAGTGGACTGGACAACAAAATCAACAACTCAATCACAGGGAGCACACAAGTGGCAGATTCTTTCATTTTCAAACAAAAGGACACAGAATACAGATATGAGGAACATTACACCTTGAATCTTAAAACAAGTGGAATGTTTCACTTGTAATTCACTTGTTCACCAAACAAATCTTTCCTGTCATACACATTTTGAACTGGTAAGGAAAGGCTGTTAAGTCAAAACCGAGTGTCCTACTTACAAACACTGGTAGTCTTACGACGTTTACGAGTGGGTTGTGGCAGGGTTGGTTTCTTGGTGTCATCACAATGGTAGTATTTGATGTGACTGCCTAAAAGATTTTCCTTACGAAACGCCTTGTTACAGCCTTCAAATACACACTTAAAATGGTTGTGGTCCTGCTCTATGATAAAGGCTTTCTTGGGTATGCCAGTAACTACTGGAACAGTGCCTTGGGTCTGGAGTGGTGGAGCTGGTGACATACTAGGGGACAATTGACTCACAGGCACAGATGCTGAAGAATGACAAACACAAGTTATCAAAATTCTGATTTCCAAGATAAATTTTCTGCAATTGTTTTTACATTACAACAAATGAATCAGATTTGAAGAATTCATTATTATTATTATTATGATATTCTTAACGGCCCGTCAACACATAAAAGGTCATTAGGGCCATCAACACATAAAAGGTCATTAGGGCCATCAACACATAAAAGGTCATTAGGGCCATCAACACATAAAAGGTCATTAGGGCCATCAACCGGTAAAACACACACTGATCCACAAAGGGAAATATCATCAAACTGAAAAGTAAAAGACAAACACTAAAAATATTAAATAGGTTTATTATCACAAAAGGTTAAAATGGTAAGTCAAATTAGAAGAAGACAAAGGAAAGTTGAGAATCGGAACAATTGTAGTGATTGTCCTGTTGAACGTAGACAGTGAAAAACAGGTGGTAATATCTACATTGTATTTACTTATGAATCAGATTTTCACTAATAATTAATGTTAAGGTGATATTAGCTGGACCAAATATTTTTCTCCACAAAGTATTTAATTTCTGCTACCGACAAATCACTTCTTTCCCAATAATTAATGTTAAGGTGATATTAGCTGGACCAAATATTTTTCTCCACAAAGTATTTAATTTCTGCTACCAACAAATCACTTCTTTATTTTATGTCGTTATTGTATTCAGTACCTTTTTCCTTTTCCTTGGAGCGACTTCGTTTTCTGACAGGTGTTCCCTCAGTAGCCTCAACCTGCGACTCACTAGTGCTGCTGGTCTCAGACATGGACGGGGATGCTGTGCGTTTCTTGGCTTTTTTCTCACCTGTTAGAATTATAACACATCTCACCTGTTAGTATCATAACACATCTCACCTGTTAGTATTATAACACATCTCACCTGTTAGTATTATAACACATCTCACCTGTCAGAATTATAACACATCTCACCTGTTAGTATTATAACACATCTCACCTGTTAGTATTATAACACATCTCACCTGTCAGTATTATAACACATCTCACCTGTTAGTATTATAACACATCTCACCTGTTAGTATTATAACACATCTCACCTGTCAGAATTATAACACATCTCACCTGTTAGTATTATAACACATCTCACCTGTTAGTATTATAACACATCTCACCTGTCAGTATTATAACACATCTCACCTGTTAGTATTATAACACATCTCAACTGTCAGTATTATAACACATCTCACCTGTTAGTATTATAACAGTTCTCACCTGTTAGTATTATAACACATCTCACCTGTTAGTATTATAACAGCTCTCACCTGTTAGTATTATAACAGATCTCACTTGTTAGTATTATAACAGCTCTCAACTGTCAGTATTATAACACATCTCACCTGTTAGTATTATAACAGTTCTCAACTGTCAGTATCATAACACATCTCACCTGTTAGTATTATAACACATCTCACCTGTCAGTATTATAACAATTCTCAACTGTCAGTATCATAACACATCTCATCTGTTAGTATTATAACACATCTCACCTGACATTCCTGTCAGATGGATGAAACATGATAGCTAGAGGTCATCCTGACATTCCCGTCAGAGGGATAAAACATGATGGCTAGAGGACATCCTGACATTCCTGTCAGATGGATAAAACATGATGGCTAGAGGACATCCTGACCTTTCCTGTCAGATGGATAAAACATGATGGCTAGAGGACATCCTGACATTCCTGTCAGATGGATAAAACATGATGGCTAGAGGACATCCTGACATTCCTGTCAGATGGATAAAACATGATGGCTAGAGGTCACATGATGGCTGACATTCCTGTCAGATGGATAAAACATGTCAGATGGATAAAACATGATGGCTAGTCCTGACATTCCTGTCAGATGGATCATCCTGACATTCCTGTCAGATGGATAAAACATGATGGCTAGAGGACATCCTGACATTCCTGTCAGATGGATAAAACATGATGGCTAGAGGACATCCTGACATTCCTGTCAGATGGATAAAACATGATGGCTAGAGGACATCCTGACATTCCTGTCAGATGGATTCCCGTCAAAAAACATGATGGCTAGAGGACATCCTGACATTCCTGTCAGATGGATAAAACATGATGGCTAGAGGACATCCTGACATTCCTGTCAGATGTCAGACATTCCTGGATAAAACATGATGGCTAGAGGACATCCTGACATTCCTGTCAGATGGATAAAACATGACATTCCTGTCAGATGGATAAAACATGATGCCTGACATTCCCGTCAGAGATGGATAAAACATGATGGCTAGAGGACATCCTGACATTCCCGTCAGAGGGATAAAACATGATGGCTAGAGGACATCCTGACATTCCCGTCAGATGGATAAAACATGATGGCTAGAGGACATCCTGACATTCCTGTCAGATGGATAAAACATGATGGCTAGAGGTCATCCTGACATTCCCGTCAGATGGATAAAACATGATGGCTAGAGGACATCCTGACATTCCTGTCAGATGGATAAAACATGATGGCTAGAGGTCATCCTGACATTCCTGTCAGATGGATAAAACATGATGGCTAGAGGACATCCTGACCTTTCCTGTCAGATGGATAAAACATGATGGCTAGGTTAGAGGACATCCTGACATGATGGTTAGAGGTCATCCTGACATTCCTGTCAGATGGATAGAGGACATCCTGACATTCCTGTCAGATGGATAAAACATGATGGCTAGAGGACATCCTGACATTCCTGTCAGATGGATAAAACATGATGGTTAGAGGACATCCTGACATTCCTGTCAGATGGATAAAACATGATGGTTAGAGGTCATCCTGACATTCCTGTCAGATGGATAGAGGACATCCTGACATTCCTGTCAGATGGATAGAGGACATCCTGACATTCCTGTCAGATGGATAAAACATGATGGCTAGAGGACATCCTGACATTCCTGTCAGATGGATAAAACATGATGGCTAGAGGACATCCTGACATTCCTGTCAGATGGATAGAGGACATCCTGACATTCCTGTCAGATGGATAAAACATGATGGCTAGAGGACATCCTGACCTTTCCTGTCAGATGACCTAATAAATGCTTTCTCTATAACAAAACTAAACCAAACTTACGTTTGATAGTCACTGGAAGAACAGAATCACCACTAACTCCATGCGTCACATCCGCTTTCTGGGGGAGGGGCTGTTTTTGGGAGGCGGACACAGAGGAATTTGCTACAGAAAAGAAATTATTTATTATTCTAAATGAGAGAGATCCACAAAAACATCAATTTCACTGAAAATTGTGTAAAAAACACCTTGTTTTTCTAGCCCAATAATTTCATTATAGATAAATATGTTATCATCAATGAGCAGTCAACATGTAGGTAATATCTGAATGATGTGTACAGTGCAATCCCACATATTAACATTTCCTTCATTAGCTTAGAAACTTAATGTTCCTAACATTTTGTCTCATTACTTCTCATAATGAAATGGTTATGACTGTGTAATGGATGTTACTAACTGGATGTGGTGTTGGCTGGACAGGACGGTGCAGGTGCAGGTACAGGTTCAGGACTTGAAACTACGGCACTGGTGGTGGCTGGCCTGGCCACAGGTGGCATCAGAGGCTTAACATCTACCTGTCAACAACAGAACACAAACCTCACAACATCTACCTGTCAACAACAGAACACAAACCTCACAACATCTACCTGTCAACAACAGAACACAAACCTCACAACATCTACCTGTCAACAACAGAACACAAACCTCACAACATCTACCTGTCAACAACAGAACACAAACCTCACAACATCTACCTGTCAACAACAGAACACAAACCTCACAAACACAAACCTCACAACATCTACCTGTCAACAACAGAACACAAACCTCACAACATCTACCTGTCAACAACAGAACACAAACCTCACAACATCTACCTGTCAACAACAGAACACAAACAACATCACAACATCTCTACCTGTCAACAATAAAACACAAACTTCACAACATCTACCTGTCAACAACAGAACACAAACCTCACAACATCTACCTGTCAACAACAGAACACAAACCTCACAACATCTACCTGTCAACAACAGAACACAAACCTCACAACATCTACCTGTCAACAACAGAACACAAACCTCACAACATCTACCTGTCAACAACAGAACACAAACCTCACAACATCTACCTGTCAACAACAGAACACAAACCTCACAACACCTACCTGTCAACAATAAAACAAGACATCCCAGAGAGATCTTTTTGTCCCCATGGTTTGATCTTTATACACTCTATGAAAGTTGGATCTTTTCCCTTCTTTCTCTTCTCTGTTTTTGCTCTTAATGATAAGACATTTGAACATTTCTTTGCAAAAATAAATGATAATCTTTACCTGCCAAATCCAAAATTGCTGTCTGGAAGTAATTTTGTTTCTTCTGATCAGTCTCAAAAGCAAATGACCACAAGGAGAGACCAAAGGGAACATACTAGGAAATTTGAGAGATATCCATTCAGTACTTCTAAAGAAATAGCATGTTAGAGGCTATAAAGGTATGTTTCCCTTTATTATTACCTATAATTGAAATTTGAATTGATTATCAGTTTCCAAGACAACCTAATACACTTATCATTTAGTGGATTTTTTTTAATACTATTTAGTGGTTTAATAAAAACAATTAAATTATGATTTGATCACTTTTCTATTTTCATTCTTTAATTTGTAGAGTAAATCCAAGAGGTAGATGTTTATATAGATAATGTGTATGTAACAGTAATGTCACTTGTAGCTTCCAGCTGTATGTAGTTAAGACCAGGACTTATCGACCCAAGATATGTCTACCAACCCTGCCTCTGGTCTGGTCAAGTTAAGACTGTAATTTCTTACTAAAGATGGTCTTCACAACAGTTTAACACCAGTAAAGAGGAAAAGAAGAGGAATGGTACAAAACCAAAGTGTAATTTACAATTTTGGTTTAAAAAAAACCAGGAGAATCTCCAAAATCTTCGCACTGTTGACAGGTAGACATGCTGTGAACGAAAAACTGGGGGGATCACGTCACTCTTCTAATGTTGTTTACTCTAAGTATCAAGTCTTCCTATAAATACTGGCCATAGAACATAGTCAAGTCATAATTCGGTGAAGAGAGTACACTTTTGATTACTTACAATGAACTTACAATGTGATAATTTTTTACAGCAGAAAAAAGTCTCCCAAAGTGAATAACAATCTTATTTCTCAAAATCTGACTAAAAGCAGGTATACTGAGCTCATTATCAAAAAATTATTTCCCAGAATTATCTATAAATCTTTGTTACCAATATATAAAAACACAGGCAGCTACAATATTCATGTAGAAAAGTTGACTTTTAAGTTCCATATGGAGTGCAATTAATTTTTCAGCTTAAATTTGGTTTTATTAATGCTGAAATTTGTCAACAGGAACAGTGATCCTAGGATAATTTAAGACATTTTAATCTATATATCACTAGACCAACATAATCTTCTTGATAAAATTTTCATGCAATATAAGAATGTACTTCACAACACCAAAGATACGACCATTATCTTCATCCCTCTGTCATCAGACACATAACTTGTATCACTCTGACATTTTATCGGGTATAAAATCCTTTTACACTAACAAAACAGATAAGCCATGACAATATATTTACACAATTTTTTTTTACTTCTTTAGTTTCTGTCATGGAGAGATAGATAACTTGATCTAAGTGGAGGTTGTGTTTTAAACAGAACGATGAACAGGTCGCATTTAAGATAACCTCTGACCTTGAATTGTATCCTATTAGCAGACTCCCCTGTGTGAGGTAAGCCTGCTCCACCAGTACTTGACGAAGACTTCACACTTACAGAGTCGCCATCAGTACGTTCACGTCGAGCGAAAAATGACCCTGCCACAATCAGCTTCTTCTTAGATAGCGTAGCACTTGAACTGCGTTTTCGTACCACACTTGTGTCTTTGTTTCGTTTTCCAGGTTGACCGTCTGTTGTCTCGCGTCGCCTCTTTTTACCACTGTCTGATGAAGGTCGTTTTCTTTGTTTTATAGTTGGATCATGTTTCTGGTGAGACTTGTGTTCTTCAGATTCTGTAACAAGTGTAGTAAGACACATGATACACTGACCTTACCGCCATGTGAGGTTACACTGACATCAACAAATAAGACCATCTTATCAGAATAGATCATATTTCTATAGTGTAAATAGGAATGTACTTTGTTACAGGGTTTACATAAATATACAATGTCTACACATCTCATTTATAGCAATTATTACATAACACTTGTTGTAGACCCAGAAATGCTGATATTTTTCCTCAGTTGGCATAGACAGACAGAATAACATTTTGTGGCCAAATCCCCAACAAAAATATGATGTTAACCTTTCAAAATAAAAATGGTTGAATAATCTGCTAAGATTACTTATGTATTTAAAAAAAATCAATCAAAAGTATCAAAAAGTTTTGAAAATGTTATTTACTAAATGATGTATGTCATTTCCTCAAAAGAACTGTTTCAAAAAGTTGCCTCCCTTTAAAGAGTTACTTCCCTTTAAAGAGTAACCCTAATTCCCTCTAAGCTAATGACTACAATTAACAGCTCTGTGCTGATTTATAAGCAAAGCTTTTTACTTGAATTTGACTCTTGTCTTTTTTATCATAATCTTATCATTCCTCGTGAAAATTAATTGACAAGTGCTGCTAGTGACTAGGTTCACCAAACAATCGTTCACATACTTTAACTACAGCAACTATAAGCATGTTTTGTGAGCACTGTAGCTGCAGGTTGTTTCACAGAAAAATATTAAGTCTACTAGCAACATTGATTTGGGCAAACTTATTGGCAACTGAAAGGAAAAGTTATTCAACAGGGTATAGGATAGAAACATTTAAATAAGCAGAGTGTGTGAAGGTATCCAAAATGCTGTGCAGACCAATTTCTCCTACATATCATCATAATCTAAATTTCTATCTAGGAATTGTATTGACCTCTCCAGAAATCTGTCATTTTTTTAACTAAAATTGGTTAAAATTCACTGCTGTATATATTGAATGCATGCTTTTTGTTATTATATTTGTGGAAACTCTTGTAAGACACCCTTTCCTGACTGTAATGTGAGCACAGTATGTATGTGACACTCAAATAAGGAGATGTTTGATATTATGTGGAACACTGAATTCATTATGTTTTATCAATTAAATGGTTTTAAAACTTTCTGCTACATGTGAGATAGACTATATGTTGTATTAACACTAGATATATTGTTCTGAATGTTTTCATAAAGCTATGTTCTATTACTACTTCCTTCTCATTACTCCAGGGTTCACTTTTCCTCTCTGCTCTCCTGAAACATTTCATGGCACAAGCAAATTTCATTGGTCTAGAGTGGGTTTCAGGAAAAAATAAACTGACCAATCAGAGACTGATACGCTTGTTTGAAAACCCCAAAAGAGCTACAACCAACTTTAACACCAACACATTATACCATCAACACATTATACCATCAACACATTATACCATCAACACATTCAACACATTATACCACCAACACATTATACCATCAACACATTATACCATCAACACATTATACCATCAACACATTCAACACATTATACCACCAACACATTATACCATCAACACATTATACCACCAACACATTATACAACCAACACATTATACCATCAACACATTATACCATCAACACATTATAACACCAACACATTATACCACCATACCATCAACACATTATACCACCAACACATTATACAACCAACACATTATACCATCAACACATTATACCATCAACACATTATACCATCAACACATTATAACACCAACACATTATACCACCAACACATTATACCATCAACACATGATACCATCAACACATGATACCATCAACACATTATACCATCAACACATTATACCACCAACACATTATACCACCATACCATCAACACATTATACCATCAACACATTATACATTCAACACATTATACCACCAACACATTATACCATCAACACATTATACCACCAACACATTATACCACCAACACATTATACAACCAACACATTATACCATCAACACATTATACCATCAACACATTATAACACCAACACATTATACCACCAACACATTATACAATCAACACATGATACCATCAACACATGATACCATCAACACATTATACCATCAACACATTATACCATCAACACATTATACCACCATACCATCAACACATTATACCATCAACACATTATACCACCATACCATCAACACATTATACCATCAACACATTATACCACCAACACATTATACCACCAACACATTATACCACCATACCATCAACACATTATACCATCAACACATAATACCACCATACCATCAACACATTATACCATCAACACATTATACCACCATACCATCAACACATTATACCATCAACACATTATACCACCAACACATTATACCACCAACACATTATACCACCATACCATCAACACATGATACCATCAACACATGATACCATCAACACATTATACCACCATACCACCAACACATTATACCACCAACACATTATACCACCATACCATCAACACATTATACCACCAACACATTATACCATCAACACATTATACTACCAACACATTATACCATCAACACATTATACCACCAACACATTATACCATCAACGCATTATACCACCACCACATTATACCATCAACACATTATACCATCATGTGACCTTGAGATTAATTTGATAGCCATGAAATGTTCAAACTCGCCTTTTCGTCTTGTCCACAACGTGTTGCACATATAATCTTCAATTTTGCCATGAAATGTTCCATGGGTGAGGAGAGTGATAGTGTAACTCCTTGAATATTGAGGATGCAAATCATTCTGCACACCATTCACAAAGCAATGAAGACAAGTTCTTTTGAAATTTCAGAAATGGAAGGCATTAAGAAGAAGTGAGAAAGTCCATGTGATAAGGTCAGTCAGACATGGACAGTGAGAGTGCTTAATGTGTTAACCTAAAATCAGCAAAGGAAATGTCTGTGTGAAAGCATAAGAAGCATGAAAAAGTCTTTGGGAAAGTTTAAAAGGTGGTCAGTCAGACCTGGAAAGGAAAGTACATGTGAGGTTACCAAAAGGTAATTAGCAGAACTGGGAAGTCTTGATGGGAGATTAAAAGATCAGCCAGATTCGCAAACCTGTGCAAATATTCATGCTTTATGCAACTTTAAATACACAGGTGTTGAAGTCATGCTATTTATCATTTCAATTTTCAAAGTTGATGTCTGTTTAAATTCAATGAAAGCAATTCCCTAACAATCAAAAGGAAGATATTTTTCCAGTTAACTCAAAATGGAAATTTCAAATAATACATCTTTTTTTTCACTTCAACTGTTACCACAAGTTTAGCTGACTTTTACCTGGAGTAACCTTTGACCTGAGGTGGCATGACCTCCGCCGTCCAACATTGCCCTCTAAAGATAAAGGATTAGTATAAGAGGACCAATCAGCAAGTTAGTAGAAGGAATAATATCATTTTCCTGTTAAAGTAAAACCTGCTTAATACTATGTTGTACTTGTTATCCAGTGAATTGGTCCATGTTTGTGTGGAGCATTATGGGCTGCACAAGTCAAAAATTCATCATGATGTCAGAAAAGGAACAACATTTTATCATTATGAATTGAAAAAGGCACAACAAAATGGCTGCCTCCATTTGATTTAATCCATATATCTGAATTCGAGAATCTGTTAAAATGTCATTTTTCTACGTTATGTGACAAAAATTATCTATTTGTTTTCATATTATAGAAGATTTTATGAACTCATCTCTAAGTTTAAACTTTTACATATCAAGACTGTGAAAAATAAAAACTTCCAAGACTTGTTTCATAAAACCTCATATGAAAGTAAAACATGTACAAGATCCTATGAATCCTTTCAGAGACATATGTCACGTTTTATTAGTATTAACATCTATTGAATTCCATATCCCAACTTTTCTCTTCCTGGTAAAACTATATCTTAGGTCGAAGAAAAGGACAGAATCCAAGTTTTGTCACTAATGCAAGCTGTGGATTGCAATACACACTTTGTGCACATAGAATATATATAATGTATGTGTTTGTCCTATTACCATAATATATATTTTTACTTCCATGCAGTTAAAACTCCTAACTGAATTGAGAAAATTGATTATTCATAAGAGGAAGATGTTAATTCAACACAATCCATGTCAGTATTACAATCCATGTCAGTATTACAGTCCATGTCAGTATTACAGTCCATGTCAGTATTACAGTCCATGTCAGTATTACAATCCATGTCAGTATTACAGTCCATGTCAGTATTACAGTCCATGTCAGTATTACAGTCCATGTCAGTATTACAGTCCATGTCAGTATTACAGTCCGTGTCAGTATTACAGTCCATGTCAGTATTACAGTCCATGTCAGTATTACAATCCATGTCAGTATTACAGTCCGTGTCAGTATTACAGTCCATGTCAGTATTACAGTACAATCTAAACTATTCAACACATATTCAGGCTTTATAGTTTAAAACCTGTCAACATGATATGAAAAGAATAAACATATATTATAGAGAAAATGAAACTGAATAAAAACAAAATAAGCCCGGGTTCACATAGACATATCCCCATCTCTCATCTTCTTGTCATCTAAACCTAGTTTGAGGTTCATTTATCAACAGGTTCATAAGATATCTGACCTTGACCTGTGACCATCAAAATGTTACCTGGTAAAGGACTATGAAATAAATCTGCCCATGGATACATCCGATCCTAGATATCTCAAACAAAAGGTTACCATGGATATAAAGATACACAAAGTGATTACTATATTTTTTCTTCCCTAACCCCACGTTTGTTTCATGCTTTCTGTGAAAAATCTTTATGTAATTAATGAAACTCATTATCTGTTTGGTGCTCTCTATTATACTTTTTACTTTAAACTTCTGTTAAAACAGTTGTGGAGTTTAGCTGAAGTGTAAGTACAGACAAGTCCAATTTTAAAGTTTTACAGAAAACAGCGGAGGAGTTTAGCTGAAGTGTAAGTACAGACAAGTCCAAGTTTACAGTTTTTTTTTACAGAAAACAGTGGAGGAGTTTAGCTGAAGTGTAAGTACAGACAAGTCCAATTTTACAGTTTTTTTTACAGAAAACAGTGGAGGAGTTTAGCTGAAGTGTAAGTACAGACAAGTCCAATTTTACTTATCTACACATGTAAATTGGTATAACATTGGCATTCTACACTAAAAGCATTACTAACCTGTTTCCATCTCTTCAGATATCATAGCAGAGCCAGCTGGGTTCTTCTGGGCTAATCGCAAACAATCAAATATTCAGTACAAAATGGAATCAAAAGTGTAAAATTTCACAGACAGAAATTCTTAATTTAAATCCTTGATTTTGACAATAAATGATATTAAGTTATGTTAAATGTATTGTTGTTTAACAAAATTAAAACAATCTATTTGACAATTATGAAAACATACTGTGAAATATTATTATAATGACATACTTTACAGCCCGTCAACACATCAAAGGTCATTAGGGTCATCAACCGCTTAATACAGAGCGATCAAAAAAAGGAAAAGGTAAAAGACAACAGTGTACTGGTGAAGACATCTTGTCTTTAAACAGAGATTTATTGATAATTTCCATTGTATATATCCACCAGAAAATCAAGGACACACTATACTCTCCCACATCAGCCCCTTATCTTGATAATTTCCAACAGCGAAACCAACATGGACAGCTGTCAACCAAGCTGTATTATGTGAAGTGATTTCAATTTCTCTATTATAAATTTTCCATTTCTGGATAGCCACATCCCTTCATTCCCCAACCTATGGTGCTTACATTTTGCAGCTGATCCAATATTCAAGGGCCTCTTCTGAGTATCAGATAAACTCATAACAAAGGATTTCAAAAGATAAATGTTGAAGAAAAATATGGGAAAGTGTTTGATGCATGTTAGTTTGACTGTTGGTTTTGTTGTTGTGTACCTTGTTCTCATTTTCATTTGAGAACGTGACACTATTTACTTGGATTGACTGAGATTTACATGGCAGGTGTAATCGATGAAGCAAAATACGCTAACCCTTGTGGAACACCTGGTCTTATTCCCTTGTATATTTTCTTCAGGAATCTCCATTTACATCTTTCTTTTGTTCATATTTTGCCCTAGTTTTACTGAATTTGGTTATGATTATGTTCACATGTTGGTATTATCCTGTTATTTCACCATTCTGTACCACCACAGTGTATCTACCTTCTTCCCTGTATAGAACCCTCACACCATTCTGTACCACCAGTGTATCTACCTTCTTCCCTGTATAGAATCCCCACACCCAGTCTGTACCACCACAGTGTATCTACCTTCTTCCCTGTATAGAACCCTCACACCATTCTGTACCACCACAGTGTATCTACCTTCTTCCCTGTATAGAACCCTCACACCACGTCTTCCCTGTATAGAACCCTCACACCATTCTGTACCACCAGTGTATCTACCTTCTTCCTGTATAGAACCCTCACACCATTCTGTACCACCACAGTGTATCTACCTTCTTCCCTGTATAGAACCCTCACACCATTCTGCACCACCACAGTGTATCTACGTTCTTCCCTGTATAGAACCCTCACACCACGTCTTCCCTGTATAGGTCCCTCACACCATTCTGTACCACCACAGTGTATCTACGTTCTTCCCTGTATAGAATCCCCACACCCAGTCTGTATCACCACAGTGTATCTACGTTCTTCCCTGTATAGAACCCTTACACCCAGTCTGTACCACCACAGAGTATCTACGTTCTTCCCTGTATAGAACCCTCATACCCAGTCTGTACCACCACAGTGTATCTACGTTCTTCCCTGTATAGAACCCTCACACCCAGTCTGTACCACCACAGTGTATCTACGTTCTTCCCTGTATAGAATCCCCACACCCAGTCTGTACCACCACAGTGTATCTACCTTCTTCCCTGTATAGAACCCTCACACCATTCTGTACCACCACAGTGTATCTACGTTCTTCCCTGTATAGAACCCTCACACCATTCTGTACCACCACAGTGTATCTACGGTCTTCCCTGTTATAGAACCCTCACACCATTCTGTACCACCACAGTGTATCTACGTTCTTCCCTGTATAGAATCCCCACACCCAGTCTGTACCACCAGTGTATCTACATTCTTCCCTGTATAGAACCCTCACACCCAGTTGTTAATTTTGCTAGAGCAGGTGAACTTGTTGTAGGGTGTTTGAAGGAACCAAATAAGTAATGATAAATAGCATGAGAAATAAAGCTGGTTTACAGTAGGTCATCTTTAACATATATACATACCTTCTTCATCTTCATTGGATTTCTTTCGCTGTTCTTTAGGTAAACTACTTACAATTTCTGTTTTCTGAAATATCAAAACAAGTGATACATAACTATCAAGTTGAAATCATCATGTCCAGCTATGTAGTTAGGATCAGGACAAAAGAAGAGCTGCTGAACTACTCGAAACGATTTCAATTGCTTAAAATAACAACTTCAATCCAGGTAGTTTATTTAATAAGCATTATTTCATTTATAACCAATTTGACAGATTTTAATTACTTGACCGCTGCAATCCAGAGAGTTTGTTTATTATGTTATTGTGTAACCAATTTGACAGATTTTAAATGACATCTGACATCGGTTTATAGAGTACTCCTTACTGGTTGTAAGAAACTCTTTTTATGCTAGATCTTGATGATGTACTTTTTTTAATACAGTATACAGTCAAGTTTGATGATCGGGTGTGATAAAAAAATGTATATCACTTATTTCAGGTTATTAACTAAAGGCAAAATTCATTCTGAATATACGAAAGTCATTTGATTCCATTCACGTGAATTTGTGATGCATTACATATATATTATATATATCAAAACTCACATCAAATATATCAAATATGCAAAGATACAATGGTCACAAAAATAACTCTCATGCTTACACTTTGCTTATTAAAATCGTGAAATCAACACCTCCCCTCGCAAAAGTACTCTAGTTTGTGCTTGATTACATCTAGTTTAATGCTGATGTTGTCAATGTATGCCAGTATTTCACATCATGCCTCTATTGTATTTGTCATATGTTCTTATCATGCAATAATGTCTTCCAGGAAAGAGACATATGGAGCGAGAATATTTTTCATAATTAAATTTTGTATTAGTCTGATGCCCTTTTCAAAAAATAATGTAGAAGCCTATCAGCTATGTGATGAACAGAATCTTACATTTGTTTCTAATTCATATTTGATTTATGAAACACAAATAATTTAAGATTTTTCATTTTCTTTCATCAAAGGCTCTATAAAATGAGAAATTCTAAAAACTTGTTTCAACAGTCTTTCATGAGTGAAAACTTATTAAAGATCTCCTATACAGCAAATTGGATGACCAGAGATGACTGTAGATGACCATAGATGACTGTAGATGACCAGAGATGACTGTAGATGACCAGAGATGACTGTAGATGACCAGAGATGACTGTAGATGCTCATTTATGCAGTTTAATGTATCTAAAGAAACCAAATCAACTAAACAGAGACAAAACAAGATAAATCACATCAGACTACGGTGAAGCTACCTGTTTGACATCCACAGCTCGAGGTCGAATGTTCATGGGCTGGACGCTCTTTTTGAAACCATCATAGAACATTATCTCATAGGAACCTGGAAATGTATATCATTACATTAATACCACTATCAAATGATATAACTGTGACAGATGAAAAATCTCTGAAAAAAAATATATCTACATATATATACAATGTAGACGTATAAAACTAAAATAGACATCACTGCATTAATAATAAATGATAGACATATACACATTAGTAAAATTGATGCCTGAATATCAATCATTGCCATAGAATCATACACACAATATACAGTTGAAACTGGTCTCAAAATCGCTGGAGTTAAAATTCCATTTGAGTCCTAATTATCTTCCTCCTTCGTCCTTATAATTTAGTTTGGACAACTCGAATTTCACCGATTTGGAATTATGTTTGAGTCGGAGTGATTTTTCAGCGCTTTCAATTGCAAAGCAAAGTCATTCAATGTCTGGAAATTAATTATTGTCCAAAAAGAAGAAATCGGTCAATATATACAGAGTCGAATGTCACTTGTGTGTTACACACTGCTAATTAGGGGTTGTCAGTCTATGTACACACAACACTTGGTTTCTTATCAATTACCAGTTTAATTATCTAATTAAATGATAGCCTCTTAATTAGTGTCACTATCCTGTAGCAATGTCTTACTTGTACTTTAACAATTAGCTTCGTTACATCTTTAGGAATGATAAAAACGAAAACCATCAAACCAGTACAAAGTTTACGATGAAATCTGATCCCCACGATTCCGAGAGAAACTCATTTTTGTGCTTGTTTACTAAAGGACTGTGAGCTGGTATTTTTCTAGATTTAGTGTTTGGACAATGCTGATTTTTAATTGATAGAGTCTATATCTGTGTGTGATAGTCTAGTACTTGTACAATGTTTTCTATAACAAGGTAAAAACTTTCCAGTGTTACCTTAGTGTTTGGACAATGCTGATTTTTAATTGATAGAGTCTATAGCTGTGTGTGATTGTTAAGTCTAGTGCGTGTACAATATTTTCTATAACAAGGTAAAAACTTTCCAGTGTTACCTTAGTGTTTGGACAATGCTGATTTTTAATTGATAGAGTCTATAGCTGTGTGTGATTGTTAAGTCTAGTGCGTGTACAATATTTTCTATAACAAGGTAAAAACTTTCTAGTGATATCTTTTCAATGTTTATTCATTCCTAAAAAAAGTCATCTTAATATGATAAGAAGCTTCCTACACTGGTTCTAGTAGTATATCAAACGCAAATTTTAGTTTCATTTTTATTCTGTAAAATATATGATCTGTGACAGTAAGGGCGATGCAGGACGGAAAGAATCACGTACAGTAGACTGGTATCACGTTTTGTTATTTGGATGAATAAACAATAAAACTAGAGAGAAGAAATCTATTTATTTTTGTTTATTTACTGCCATTTAAAATAACAGATTAAATTACCTCTGTTTGTACCTAAGAATAACGTGCAATCATAGCCCACACTGTAATCAAAATCAGAAAACCGATATCTTCAATCTTATACAAACACTTTGAGTCTTAATTCGGATGAGTCGAAATATTTTCTAGAGTCCCTTGAATTTTGAGATAACAAGTTTTGACTTTATCACTAAAACCTGGCAAATACAATGTGAAATAACCCTAACCCATAAGCAATGTTTCAATGCATGATTACTATTATTTTCAGTTTTTGATTATATGACTGCAAATGGAGAGACAGAAGAATTTTTCTCCATTTAGTTGACATTCATACTGTCCATGAATGCAGTAAAAAGGGAGTTCAATGCCTATGTGTAGGTTGCAGCACCAAAACAGATGTGTATGATGAACTCTCAACAACTCTCCAGTGTACATGTTGTATATGGTGATTTAACAATATCCAACTACAATATACTAACATCAGAACTATTGTGTCATTACAATGTAACTTAATGGGATACTTGTATCATGTTCCTGCACTTTTGGTGTCAGCTGTAGTAAACCAGTGTCCTGATGACGGCCGTATAGTGACCGAAATATGTAGACATATATTTCATACAATATAGTGTTGATTTTTTTTTTTTTGCTTTATCAATGCTTCTGCTGATCACTGCTCAATTAGGACAAGGAGCCACCAATTTGTTTACACTACTTGTTAAACTTACGCTGTTGGCAGCACACCAGGTGGTGATTCAGAGTAAAGATCCTCTAAATACCGAGTAGTTGTTTTCATTTACAGCAAGAAATTGTCAACAGGTTTTGACTACTATGCGATCGTCGTCTGGTCAATATTTACACTTTTTATCAGGCCTAAGGGACAAACTTGTGTGTCATTATAGAAACAATTGTTAGGTAAACATTGTGACAACTGAACCCTTGGAGTATCAAGGATGGTTCAGGGGTACAGAGAGAGGAAGTGACTGTAACCCCAGTAGTATCAAGGATGGTTCCAGGGGGACAGAGAGAGAAAGTGTTTGTAACCCCTGGAGTATCGAGGATGATTCCAGGGGTACAGAGAGAGAAAGTGATTGTAACCCCTGGAGTATCGAGGATGGTTCCAGGGGGACAGAGAATGAAAGTGATCGTAACCCCTGGAGTATCGAGGATGGTTCCAGGGCGACAGAGAGCGAAAGTGATCGTAACCCCAGTAGTTTCAATGATGGTTCCAGGGGTACAGAGAGAGAAAGTGATCATAACCACAGTAGTATCGAGGATGGTTCCAGAGGTACAGAGAGAGAAAGTGGTCGTAACCCCTGGATTATCGAGGGTGGTTCCAGGGGTACAGAGAGCGAAAGTGATCGTAACACCCGGAGTATCGAGGATAGTTCCAGGGGTACAGAGAGAGAAAGTGACTGTAACCCCTGGAGTATCAAGGATGGTTCAGGGGTACAGAGAGAGGAAGTGACTGCAACCCCAGTAGTATCAAGGATGGTTCCAGGGGGACAGAGAGAGAAAGTGTTTGTAACCCCTGGAGTATCGAGGATGATTCCAGGGGTACAGAGAGAGAAAGTGATCGTAACCCCAGGAGTATCGAGGATGGTTCCAGGGGTACAGAGAGAGAAAGTGTTTGTAACCCCTGGAGTATCGAGGATGGTTCCAGGGGTACAGAGAGAGAAAGTGATTGTAACCCCTGGAGTATCGAGGATGGTTCCAGGGGTACAGAGAGAGAAGGTGATTGTAACCCCTGGAGTATCGAGGATGGTTCAAGGGGTACAGAGAAAGAAAGTGATCTTAACCACTGGAGTATCGAGGATGGTTCCAGGGGTACAGAAAGAGAAAGTGATCGTAATCCCTGGATTATCGAGGATGGTTCCAGGGGTACAGAGAGCGAAGGTGATTGTAATCCCTGGATTATCAAAGATGGTTCTAGGGGTACAGAGAGCGAAAGTGATCGTAACCCCTGGAATATCGAGGATGGTTCCAGGGGTACAGAGAGCGAAGGTGATCGTAATCCCTGGAGTATCGAGGATGGTTCCAGGGGTACAGTCAATAAGGTAGATATCTTATTAACACAGAGGTAAAAGCTATTGACCAACAACATAGTTTTGATATGTTTCTTTGCAATTTACATCATGATAATTAATTTAGTGCATGGCTTTTGGCTACTGATAATTTTGGTTCAGGGTGAGCCCTGTCACCTCTGTATAGACAATACATATAGAACTCACCATCCGACTGTACATTGGTAACCTTTCCTGGATACATTTTACAGTCAGTCCATCGTGCGTATACATTTTCTCCCAACTTATAGTCCTGCAGAACAATAAACAATGGGTTACCAGTTACCACTGCCTGTTACATTTAAAATTGTGACAAGCAACATATGTATATTTATCCTGAAGTATGCCCACATCTGGAGAGTGATATCTCTGACTCCATGTCATACTGGGTTTATCCTGAAGTAACCCCACATCAGGAGAGTGATATCTCTGACTCCATGTCATACTGGGCTTATCCTGAAGTAAGCCCACATCAGGGGAGTGATATCTCTGACTCCATGTCATACTGGGCTTATCCTGAAGTAAGCCCACATCAGGGGAGTGATATCTCTGACTCCATGGCATACTGGGCTTATCCTGAAGTAACCCCACATCAGGAGAGTGATATCTCTGACTCCATGTCATACTGGGCTTATCCTGAAGTAAGCTCACATCAGGAGAGTGATATCTCTGACTCCATGGCATACTGGGCTTATCCTGAAGTAAGGCCACATCAGGAGAGTGATATCTCTGACTCCATGTCATACTGGGCTTATCCTGAAGTAAGTCCACATCTGGAGAGTGATATCTCTGACTCCATGTCATACTGGGCTTATCCTGAAGTAAGCTCGCATCAGGAGAGTGATATCTCTGACTCCATGTCATACTGGTCTTATCCTGAAGTAAGCCCACATCAGGAGAGTGATATCTCTGACTCCATGTCATACTGGGTTTATCCTGAAGTAAGGCCACATCAGGAGAGTGATATCTCTGACTCCATGTCATACTGGGCTTATCCTGAAGTAAGTCCACATCAGGAGAGTGATATCTCTGACTCCATGTCATACTGGGCTTATCCTGAAGTAAGCTCACATCAGGAGAGTGATATCTCTGACTCCATGTCATACTGGGCTTATCCTGAAGTAAGCCCACATCAGGAGAGTGATATCTCTGACTCCATGTCATACTGGGCTTATCCTGAAGTAAGCTCACATCAGGAGAGTGATATCTCTGACTCCATGTCATACTGGGCTTATCCTGAAGTAAGCTCACATCAGGAGAGTGATATCTCTGACTCCATGGCATACTGGGCTTATCCTGAAGTAAGCTCACATCAGGAGAGTGATATCTCTGACTCCATGTCATACTGGGCTTATCCTGAAGTAAGCTCACATCAGGAGAGTGATATCTCTGACTCCAGGTCAGACTGGGCTCTCCTGAAGTAAGCTCACATCAGGAGAGTGATATCTCTGACTCCATGTCATACTGGGCTTATCCTGAAGTAAGCTCACATCAGGAGAGTGATATCTCTTGACTCCAGGTCAGATTGGGCTCTCCTGAAGTAAGCTCACATCTGGAGAGTGATATCTCTGACTCCAGGTCAGATTGGGCTTATCCTGAAGTAAGCTCACATCAGGAGAGTGATATCTCTGACTCCATGTCATACTGGGCTTATCCTGAAGTAAGCTCACATCAGGAGAGTGATATCTCTGACTCCAGGTCAGATTGGGCTTATCCTGAAGTAAGCTCACATCAGGAGAGTGATATCTCTGACTCCATGTCATACTGGGCTTATCCTGAAGTAAGCTCACATCAGGAGAGTGATATCTCTTGACTCCAGGTCAGATTGGGCTCTCCTGAAGTAAGCTCACATCAGGAGAGTGATATCTCTGACTCCAGGTCAGATTGGGCTTATCCTGAAGTAAGCTCACATCAGGAGAGTGATATCTCTGACTCCATGTCATACTGGGCTTATCCTGAAGTAAGCTCACATCAGGAGAGTGATATCTCTGACTCCAGGTCAGATTGGGCTCTCCTGAAGTAAGCTCACATCAGGAGAGTGATACCTCTTGACTCCAGGTCAGACTGGGCTCTCCTGAAGTAAGCTCACATCTGGAGAGTGATATCTCTGACTCCAGGTCAGATTGGGCTCTCCTGAAGTAAGCTCACATCAGGAGAGTGATATCTCTGACTCCATGTCATACTGGGCTTATCCTGAAGTAAGCTCACATCAGGAGAGTGATATCTCTGACTCCAGGTCAGATTGGGCTTATCCTGAAGTAAGCTCACATCAGGAGAGTGATATCTCTGACTCCATGTCATACTGGGCTTATCCTGAAGTAAGCTCACATCAGGAGAGTGATATCTCTTGACTCCAGGTCAGATTGGGCTCTCCTGAAGTAAGCTCACATCAGGAGAGTGATATCTCTGACTCCAGGTCAGATTGGGCTTATCCTGAAGTAAGCTCACATCAGGAGAGTGATATCTCTGACTCCATGTCATACTGGGCTTATCCTGAAGTAAGCTCACATCAGGAGAGTGATATCTCTGACTCCAGGTCAGATTGGGCTCTCCTGAAGTAAGCTCACATCAGGAGAGTGATATCTCTTGACTCCAGGTCAGACTGGGCTCTCCTGAAGTAAGCTCACATCAGGAGAGTGATATCTCTTGACTCCAGGTCAGATTGGGCTCTCCTGAAGTAAGCCCACATCAGGAGAGTGATATCTCTGACTCCAGGTCAGATTGGGCTCTCCTGAAGTAAGCTCACATCAGGAGAGTGATATCTCTTGACTCCAGGTCAGACTGGGCTCTCCTGAAGTAAGCTCACATCAGGAGAGTGATATCTCTTGACTCCAGGTCAGACTGGGCTCTCCTGAAGTAAGCTCACATCAGGAGAGTGATATCTCTTGACTCCAGGTCAGACTGGGCTCTCCTGAAGTAAGCTCACATCAGGAGAGTGATATCTCTTGACTCCAGGTCAGACTGGGCTTATCCTGAAGTAAGCTCACATCAGGAGAGTGATATCTCTTGACTCCAGGTCAGATTGGGCTTATTTCACATCAATATACATTGTTACAGTGTGGATCTATTTATGGACTTATTGTCCTCCCAACGAAAGGGAATCTACATATGAAATTTGTGAAAGAACTATCTAGAAACACTGAACTGCCCGAATCAATAAGGCCAGCTGTCTGCTATTTTGCCTTTAATTTGCCCTAAAATTGATTACACAATACAAGGGACCAAAGGAAAACATGTTAATGAATCTGAGAATGACCCATACTGTACCTCTAAAGATAAAGGAATAAACTATAACATTCAACAATTGACAGCCATTTGTTTCTTATGCTCAAAATACAAGGAAATATACAAAAAGAATCTGATGACGATATGTCCCATACAACTCAAATAATAGCAATAACAGAAATTATTTACAGACAAACAGACATACAGAAGAATGGACAGATAGACAGATGAACGGACGGATAGACAAATAGACCGTGGCTGACAGCACATTACCATAATCTAAACATAGAATTGTATTAGCAATATCAATGATTCAGTGGCCCTGTGATAATTTTATTACAAACAATCAAACCTGCATCTTACCCCACTGAGTCGTTTTCTTTTCTCCTTTCTTCCAGAGTGTCTCATTTTAGGACGAAGTTTATCACTTGTCATCTCGACCCATTCATCATAACGCTGATTCCACCCCTCAAAGTGGATAAGAACTGTTGATTCCTCCTCATCGATATCTACTATCTTAGCAGAATACCTGTAACAACAAAAAATATCTTCAGCAAACACAAGTACATACCTTTAGTACTAAATCATATTTTCTTGTTCCAACTTAGATGTAATTTTTTCATCAATTTTTTCGAACAACATACTTCAATACATACACCATGTATTTAAGTACAAATTGACATTTTAACTCACTAAATGATTTTGTGTGCAAGGAATGGGAGTTTAAATACGAGTAGATGAGAACTTAAGTGTGAGTGAAAGGGCTTTAATATTGGAAAAGTGTTTTTATTAACATTTTCTCCAGGTTGAAATAGAAAATCTTATAACACAACCAAGAGAAGATTAGGATGTGACGTTCTGATGTCTACGCGGCCACCTTCATCTTATAACACAACCAAGAGAAGATTAGGATGTGACGTTCTGATGTCTACGCGGTCACCTTCATCTTATAACACACCCAATAGATTAGGATGTGACGTTCTGATGTCTACGCGGCCACCTTCATCTTATAACACAACCAAGAGAAGATTAGGATGTGACGTTCTGATGTCTACGCGGTCACCTTCATCTTATAACACACCCAATAGAAGATTAGGATGGGACGTTCTGATGTCTACGCGGTCACCTTCATCTTATAACACACCCAATAGAAGATTAGGATGTGACGTTCTGATGTCTACGCGGCCACCTTCATCTTATAACACAACCAAGAGAAGATTAGGATGTGACGTTATGTCTACGCGGCCACCTTCATCTTATAACACAACCAAGTTAGGATGTGACGTTCTACGCGGCCACCTTCATCTTATAACACAACCAAGAGAAGATTAGGATGTGACTACGCGGCCACACACCAATTCATCTTATAACACAACCAAGAGAAGATTAGGATGTGACGTTCTGATGTCTACGCGGTCACCTTCATCTTATAACACACCCAATAGAAGATTAGGATGTGACGTTCTGATGTCTACGCGGCCACCTTCATCTTATAACACAACCAAGAGAAGATTAGGATGTGACGTTCTGATGTCTACGCGGCCACCTTCATCTTATAACACAACCAAGAAGATTAGGATGTGACGTTCTGATGTCTACGCGGCCACCTTCATCTTATAACACAACCAAGAGAAGATTAGGATGTGACGTTCTGATGTCTACGCGGCCACCTTCATCTTATAACACAACCAAGAGAAGATTAGGATGTGACGTTCTGATGCCACCTTCATCTTATAACACAACCAAGAGAAGATTAGGATGTGACGTTCTGATGTCTACGCGGCCACCTTCATCTTATAACACACCCAATAGATTAGGATGTGACGTTCTGATGTCTACGCGGCCACCTTCATCTTATAACACAACCAAGAGAAGATTAGGATGTGACGTTCTGATGTCTACGCGAGAGTGATATTCTGAAGACTTTACGGTCACCTTCACCTAACAAATGACCAGTGTGGAGCGTTCTACCACTAACTATAATCTGTTTACCATTTCTTCACACTATTATCGAGCTTCCTGTACACAGGATTACAGCGGAAAAATTGGACAATTCCTTACCATCTCGTACATTACATACATCTGCTAGTACGCTCCACGCTGGTCATTTGTCTGATGAAGGTGACCGTGTAGATCTCGTACACTACGTACGTCAGTGCTAGTATGCTCCACACTGGTCATTTGTCTGATGAAGGTGACCATGTAGTCATCAAAACGTCACACTCTAATCTACGAGTTGTGTTATAAGAACTTCTATGCCAATATAGGGACTGTTTCTTTCATTTGCAGTACATATATATAAAACAATACAAGTTTTACAGTTTGAATGATTCTTCCTGACTCTGGGAGTACTATTGACTATCTATTCCTATTTTCAGCTGTTTTAAGACTTCATCGTATCCTGTGCCTATTTATCTGGTATTATACAAACCTTACGAGAGAACTGGAGAGTGAATCTGTAGTACTTATTGTTACAGCTATGTCAAAGTCTGTGCCAGAGACCATTTAAATTATAAGTAACACTCCAAGTTGAAGGTTACAACGACAAAATTTCTTGAATCAATCTATCTTTTTGCTGGATAATTTTGTTAACAATGATGTGAATGTCACATTGTGTGAATAACACAAATAATTTTGTTGCTATTTTGGAATGAGGTAGGAAGGAAATCTGTCCAATAAGGCAGATTGGGAGCAAAGTAAAGAATTAACATGAATAATCATTACCAAATAATTTTAGTTGAAAATGTTATCAAAAAGGTTAATAAACGGACAGTTATATACCAGAGAGCCTGAAGAAGATATTTTTAAGCAAAAAGCCTTTGGTCAACACAAAGCTGATGTAAATTCTTACCATTTTTTCATGAAATCCATGGCTTCAACTTTTTCACCTTTCCGCCAGATGATACCTGGCCTGTTGGGACATTTCCCGCGAACTGTTCCAGATCCCTGGACCTGGGTCTGAGAAGAGGATGAGCTGGTTGAACAGGTGCTCACATTATCTGCCATCCCTGCCCCACCCCCTATTCCACCACCACTTGGAATCCTTATCCCAGGTTTACTGGGAGTCCCACGATCGGAACTGGCCCGACTACTTGCTGAACTGTCTAGCAAACCTTCTTCATCCACTCCACATGGAGGTGAGGGAGGTACATCATCGGGGTCAGGAAGAGGGGAGTCCACATGCATATCAAATTCACCTTCTGTTTTGGGTGAGATTTTTTCTATCATACTTCCTACATGGGATTCCTCCATTTCTGGCACTGACAATTTTGGTTCTGAAGTACTTACAGCAATCGTTTCATTTGCTTCAGTTTCCTTAAAAGATAAACAGTGAATGAGATTAAACATAAAACTTGTAAGTAATGTACATTGTATTTTTATCAATGTTGATTGCTTAGTTAGTAATTTATTGGTGCTTTATGTTCTATTAACAACTAGGGTCATTTAACAACGTGCCAGGTTTCGGAGGTGGAGGAAAGCTGGAGTTGCAGGTGAAATACCAGCAACCTGCAGCCAGTACTTAGCAACTGCCCCACACAAGCCTCCACCCCGCGAAGGCAAATCATGCAGACAGTCACATGCCTTAACCACCGCCTGGATGCAATTGTGAGGTTGCAGTAATAATACATAAATGAAAATCATTTTCAATCACTGTACTTCAGTATTGATCGTCCAAATTGGCATCCTTAAAATTTTCTTTTTGATCAAATCATTACAACACTGCAGTGCTTTTCTCTAGGTATTTTTCAGGCAAATCTAGAACATCATTTCCAAACTTTTGATGAATCCAAGTCCTAAAAATCATTGCATTGATGATTTTGGGGCATGCCCATGTGTTTGAGCATACACTATACACATGTTAAATGTATCCTTGCTGTTAGATGACATTGGCTACCTTTCCCTGGGATATTGTCACAGAACACAATCTGCTTTCAGAGCAAATAAACTGATAATTTGTAACTTCCTTAATTATATCCCAACTCCCAATGCTGTTTTATTTATTTAGAACAATTTTTATTAGCCATCTTTTTGTAAGTGAATTATGCATTTAGTTTGTAAATGAAAATCGTATTTGTTCTTCAGGACAGATCTTTATTGTGGTATTAGAATCAACGTTAGGTATACACATGCAGGTTATTGTTATTATAAATTTTGTGTACTGTAATAGACAAATATTTATTATGCATTGCTTTTTAAGTTGTTGCCCATTTACCAAATATATAACTAGCCCTAAAAACTATTAATATATTTATGAATACGCGAAAATCACAGCAAATGACACTCTCATGACCTACATAACCAGACGGAGGATACATGGTAAAGCGAGCGATGACGCAACGATTCACGCGCCATTCATAATTGTAACGTGAGATGCAAATGGCGTTAATTCACCATTATTAGTTACAGCAGGAGTTGTATCACTATCGAATGTACTAAATTGTTATAATAAAAGTCACTTTATCAGTTTTTTGTACGCAATAAAGATCAAAGTTGTGCAAGAGAACTGTACGTACACTTCCCTCCGACGCCATCTTGAGTTCTAAGTAAATTCTGGTCCGGAAAGGTGACGAGAATCAGGAAATTATATAAGATTGAAATATGATTTAGAAATATTTTTATGCAATTATGCGAATGTATTTTCTTCTCATTAAATTTAAATACAAGCTGCCATGGAGAAGAAACCATATTATAACGTACAATACGTAAATGAAAAGTTTTCAGTGTCTGTTGTATCACACCAACAGACATCAATGTGAAGAAGGGGGGTTGATTTGCAAGTCTTTAACCAATACACCTAATTAATATGGGTCTTGATGTAACAGAGAAAAAATCATCATAACAAATGATAAAAATACGATTTAATTTTTTTTCAAGAGAAAAGATCCAAGTAATACTGGAATACATTAATGATATACTACAACCACACTTAGGTATCAGTATACTCAGTATATATATATATATTTTTATATATGCGTTTTAAAACCTGTTGGTAATGAGAAACAAATATACAGAAATTATTGATAGAGTAAAGGCAGACTATGTTATTTAGAGAGAATTTAAAACCTGCTATCAAACTTAAAAACAAATTACTGCTACTTGAACTGGCCCATAATAATATGTCTACTGATCTCTAAACATACAAACTATGGGACACAGAGCACATAGGATAGGGCCACTGTATCGAAAAAACGTACCACATCAAACTCTTAGCCCTGACCTGAAGTCAGGGGATGATAAAATCTTATCAGTACCCACCTCAGTTCTCAGTACAATCAATAATTTAAAACATACTGTAGACTTGGATTTTTGGTTGTTTTAGTAGGCTATGATGTACAATATGTTACTGCAGCATAATCTTATTACAGAAATATCTGTCATAGCTTTCTATAGTCTTTGAACTACATATTATAAAGCCAGTTTTGATTTCGATGTTGTCTTAATCGTGACGTTGTCTTGATAGTGAGGATGAAATAGAGCGATGGTCGTAACAGCGAAATTGTCTTAATAGCACGGTTATCTTAACATCGAGATTTTCTTAATAGCGAAATAGTCTTAATAGCGAAAAGGTCTTAACAGCGAGATGGTCTTAATAGCGAGATAGTCTTAATAGCGAAGAGGTCTTAACAGCGAGATAATCTTTATAGCGAGATGATCTTAATAGCGAGATGGTCTTAACAGCGAAATTGTCTTGATAGCGAGATGGTCTTAACAGTGAGATAGTCTTAACAGCGAGATAGTCTTAATAGCGAGAAGGTCTGAACAGCGAGAATGTCTTAATAGCGAGATAGACTTAATAGCGAGATGGTCTTAACAGTGATATAGTCTTAACAGCGAGATAGTCTTAACAGCGAGATTGTCTTAATAGCGAGATAATCTTAAAAGCGAGATGGTCTTAACAGTGATATAGTCTTAACAGCGAGATGGTCTTAACAGCGAGAAAGTCTTAATAGCGAGTTCGTCTGAACAGCGAGAATGTCTTAATAGCGAGATAGTCTTAACAACGAGATAGTCTTAACAGCGAGAATGTCTTAATAACGAGATGGTCTTAACAGCGAGATGGTCTGAACAGCGAGATAGTCTTAACAGCGAGATAGTCTTAATAGCGAGATAGTCTTAACAGCGAGATGGTCTTAACAGCGAGATAGGAGATGGTCTTAATGGCGAGATAGTCTTAACAGCGAGATAGGCGATGGTCTTAATGGCGAGATGGTCTGAATCGTCAGCGTTCCTTCCTGAAGAATATTGTGTTACACTGTACCATTTTCACTTGTTTACTTATTTGAATTTATAGATAAGAAATTTGAAATATTGATTTGAAATATAACACACGAGTCTAATACAATTTGTAAAATAAACAGAAAAATAACAAAGATAAACAAGTAAATATATCAATAGATCAATTTATGAAATAAGTAAATGAATAAAAATCAATTGAATCAATTAATTAATTCAGAAAATGTAAATAAGTAAATTTAGTCCCTTATGTTTGCCGTAATCTGTATGATTTCTCATGTAAGAAAATTTCAAAATGTATTGAGTTATTACTTTCACGCATCTCCCGATCTAGATTTTCCTCGGTCGCCTCCTAGGCTTCAAAATTTAGGTCCTTGTCATCCCTGACGAGTCTTAAAAGGAAAACAGATGTATGATTTAGTTTAATTCAGTGTGTGACTCTTCTGTATCCAGATCTAAGTTTTGTATCAATAAATACCCTTCACTTGTGTGTGTTTTGTACAATCGTGACGTGACACGGTAGCAGAACGCGGAAATCATTCGTATTGGCATTTCATTCACATATATCAAATATATTGTGAAGAACATCTCTAAAATAATTAAGGAAAAAACAAACATATGAATAACTGCTTTCATATGATAACTGATGACTATATTATGTGAATGATCGGAGGAGATGAACCACGATCAGTATCGATGACATATTTTCTGTTGCTTTTTAGGTCATAATACGGATGTTTATAGACATATTGTGGTAAAGACACTTCTCATAATGTAAACAAAAGTGGTAAGTTTGACCTCCTAAATACAGCAGAGGACATGTTTGTATGGCTGGACAGGGGCTGGAATACTCGGGTTGCGGTATGTATGACCTCCTAAATGTAGCAGAGGACATATTTGTATGGCTGGACAGGGGCTGGAATACTCGGGTTGCGGTTATGGCTGACCTCCTTTTTAGCAGAAGACAGGAGTTGGAGGGCTATATGATAAAAAAAAACATTTCATAAACCTTATAACGTGTCGCTAGAAGTCTTGGATGACTGTCCCAGGCTTGGTGACAATACATTCCCATCATATTTCCCGGATGACTGTCCCAGGCTTGGTGACAATACATTCCCATCATATTTCCCGGATGACTGTCCTACACTTGGTGACAATACATTCCCATCATATTTCCCGGATGACTGTCCTACACTTGGTGACAACACATTCCCATCATATTTCCCGGATGACTGTCCTACACTTGGTGACAATACATTCCCATCATATTTCCCGGATGACTGTCGAACACTTGGTGACAACACATTCCCATCATATTTCCCGGATGACTGTCCTACACTTGGTGACAACACATTCCCATCATATTTCCCGGATGACTGTCGAACACTTGGTGACAATACATTCCCATCATATTTCCCGGATGACTGTCGAACACTTGGCGACAATACATTCCCATCATATTTCCCGGATGACTGCCCCAGGCTTGGTGACAATACATTCCCATCATATTTCCCGCATGACTGTCCCAGGCTTGGTGACAATACATTCCCATCATATTTCCCGGATGACTGTCCCAGGCTTGGTGACAATACATTCCCATCATATTTCCCGCATGACTGTCCCAGGCTTGGTGACAATACATTCCCATCATATTTCCCGCATGACTGTCCTACACTTGGTGACAATACATTCCCATCACATTTCCCGCATGACTGTCTCATACTTTACGACCAGACATTCCAATGAGATTTTCTTTGTTATCATAAATTGAGTAATTAAGTCATGCTACCCAGATCATGTGGTAGTAAACGAGATCCATTTTCCCAAGAAAGCTGACATGTACAAAAAAGTTAGCATTAAGGCTATCAAACCTTTTAAGTAGTTTTAATTTTTACAATGCTTTATCTGTTAAAAAATTGTTTGAGATCATATATTGTCATAGGTCTCCATCCCCTTACTATACACGGCCTTCTTCAAAATCAATGATATATCTATGATATCTATTATATGTATACATTGTAATTAAATACATAATATAATAGTTCACATTTACTAGAATATAACGACATGCGTATTAGAATAATTCAGACTGACCAGAGTGTGGTGTAATATATAATATAATAATTAGACCAGAGTGTGGTGTAATATATAATATAATAATTCAGACAGACCAGAGTGTGGTGTAATATATAATATAATAATTCAGACTGACCAGAGTGTGGTGTAATATATAATATAATAATTCAGACTGACCAGAGTGTGGTGTAATATATAATATAATAATTCAGACAGACCAGAGTGTGGTGTAATATATAATATAATAATTAGACTGACCATAGTGTGGTGTAATATATAATATGATAATTCAGACTGACCAGAGTGTGGTGTAATATATAATATAATAATTCAGACTGACCAGAGTGTGGTGTAATATATAATATAATAATTAGACCAGAGTGTGGTGTAATATATAATATAATAATTCAGACAGACCAGAGTGTGGTGTAATATATAATATAATAATTAAGACTGACCAGAGTGTGGTGTAATATATAATATAATAATTCAGACTGACCAGAGTGTGGTGTAATATATAATATAATAATTAAGACTGACCAGAGTGTGGTGTAATATATAATATAATAATTCAGACTGACCAGAGTGTGGTGTAATATATAATATAATAATTAAGACTGACCAGAGTGTGCTGTAATATATAATATAATAATTCAGACTGACCAGAGTGTGGTGTAATATATAATATAATAATTAAGACTGACCAGAGTGTGGTGTAATATATAATATAATAATTCAGACTGACCAGAGTGTGGTGTAATATATAATATAATAATCAAGACTGACCAGAGTGTGCTGTAATATATAATATAATAATTCAGACTGACCAGAGTGTGGTGTAATATATAATATAATAATTCAGACTGACCAGAGTGTGGTGTAATATATAATATAATAATTCAGACTGACCAGAGTGTGGTGTAATATATAATATAATAATTATGCTGACCAGAGTGTGGTGTAATATATAATATAATAATTCAGACTGACCAGAGTGTGGTGTAATATATAATATAATAATTCAGACTGACCAGAGTGTGGTGTAATATATAATTTAATAATTAAGACTGACCAGAGTGTGGTGTAATATATGATATAATAATTCAGACTGACCAGCGTCTGGTGTAATATATAATATAATAATTAGACCAGAGTGTGGTGTAATATATAATATAATAATTCAGACTGACCAGAGTGTGGTGTAATATATAATATAATAATTCAGACTGACCAGAGTGTGGTGTAATATATAATATAATAATTCAGACAGACCAGAGTGTGGTGTAATATATAATATAATAATTCAGACAGACCAGAGTGTGGTGAAGTACATAATAAATAATGGAATAATTCAGATATATGATGATTTAAATGAAACAGGTTTTAGGAAAGACATAACAGAATAAATTGTGGCTCATTCCCCGAACACCAACTCTGCCAACTTGAAAGGAGGGTGTTTATAAAGGGAATCCTTTGATGTTAAAGTTATAGTCTGTTTCAACTAAGAATGTCAACTTGTCCTTGTAAATAGGATACGTACATATCAATAAGGAAATAGGTAAAGTCTTTTTTTGTTTTACATATATAAATGTAACACATTTTTGTAGTATATGAAGTATTACAAAATAGTTATTAATTATAAAGTATTTAAAATTGTTATTTATTATTTTAATGATTATCATATCAGATTATATTTAATTGATAAATAAAATTTAGTATGTCACAATGATACACTGATGTCTGTTATTAAATTGTATTTGTATTACATATATATAATGTTGCAACATTATCCACATCTTAGCATTAAATAAATTATTATCTAATATAAATAGTAAACCCCTAAATGACTGAATTAGCACTATGTATGACAATACATTATCCAGTTATCTAGATATTATGTCCTTTTACAACCTGTGATAATCAAGTAATCCATAAGTCCAGAAAACACAAAACACTCTATCCAAGATGCAGAAGCTCGGATGCTGAATCAGCATAGGTCATCAGGTCGATTGTCCCAGTCTGGTAACGGTCCTTCAAGGTGGCCAGGCGTCTGTCAATGTTGGCGTATTTCTTCTTCCGGGGTTGAATGGTGCCTCCTGCGTCTCTCTGAATCCGGCTGATGTCGTTCATGTTCTGTATGTCCTTAAACGTCTGGATAATGGTGTAGATGTTGGGGTGGGCATGCAGTACCTTCTTCAGTTTTCCGTGCCAAGCTTCCAGATGGTTGGTAGTCCGGGGTCCCTCGGTTAAGAAGTGGTTCCAGGTGGTACGATCTCCCTCTATCCATTGTGTGCAGCTACCTCAAAATCGACGAAGGCTGTAGTGGGTCGGAATGGAATGTCGAAGTGTGCCATGTGATCCTGGAGAAGGGTGAAGAAACGGCTGTAGATTGCCTGGCTCTTTCCGGGAAGTAATGCGTATACGACTGGTGTCATGGTGCCTTCATTCTGTACATGGACGCTGAAAATCTGATGAAACATTGTTGGACAGTTGTAGAAAGTTCCGTCACAGAAGAAGGTGTCAGATGCTGCAAGTTCGGCCAGGTTCTCCGACGAAGCGAATGCGATCATCCTGTTGTTCTGTTCACCGTCGTCAAAGAGGAGAAATGGTTCGCCTGTAGATGCTTCTATCCATCTTCCATCCAAGGTGATGTCGGCCAAAGTCTTTGGTAGTGGAGGAGTCTGCTTGCGGCGAGCACGGTAAAGAGACGATTTCGCTGTGTAGAATGTTGGTAGTCGCTGGACCACGGTCATCCCAGTCGAGTTGATTGAGCTCTTCCTAAAAGATGGACGGAATAGGCTGGACCGATTATACGCATTTGTTGGTGATCTGGTTCATGATCTGTTTGGCTGGGTCTGAGGCGTGGGTGTGTGGATTTCTTCCGAAGTTAGCTGGTATGTTGTTGATTGTCGAGAGTGATGCTGAGCAGCCTGAGGTCGAACATCTCCAGAATGTCCTGCTGCCGTTCTTTCGAATCTGTCTGAAGATGAATCCATTATGTGAAAGGTTCTGTCCGCCTCTTCTGTTGGTGATGAACTTAACGTTGATCTGAGCATTAGCCATACTGTCCTTGTATCAAACAACAAAGATAATAATATCACTCAAATTAAACACAATTTACATAAAAACTGAGAAAATACAAGATTAACTAATTTACACAAAAACTGAGAGAAAATACAAGATTAACTAATATATGACAAAAGTTACAATTTACACAAAAACTGAAAGAAAATACAAGATTAACTAATATATGACAAAAGTTACAATTTACACAAAAACTGAAAGAAAATACAAGATTTAACTAATATTTGACAAAAGTTACAATTTACACAAAAACTGAAAGAAAATACAAGATTAACTAATATATATATGACAAAAGTTATGATTTGACAATATATCTGTGACAAAAGTACAGTAATAAATCAAGCAATGATTGAGATATTGATCTTTCAAAGTGCAGATTGAAATATGATAATTTCCCAAAATGAACTTGGCTTTTATACATTTCCCATTGAATAGCTTGGGATTTAAACAGATTTAACACAGATATTTGATTCCTTTATTTTACAGTTATTAACAGTTTTCAGTTTTCTGAACAGTTATCAGAATCAGAACTTAATCATCTGCTTTACCTGTTTTCTGAACAGTTATCAGAATTTACCTGGGCAAGTTACCTGTACTACAATTCTAAAACAGCCTATAATCCACTATCATCACAGTTGACCTCCTATGTAAACATGTTGTCATATACAGAGTTGGTGTTCGGGGAAGACCCCATTGTAATAGGGTAATTCCGATTGATTAGGATCCAAAATAATACACAATTAAAACAATTCAAAACTTTATTTATATAAACACGAAGATCATTCCTTTGTGTGTAAGGGTAGAAAGTCTTGATTACGCGCTGGCTATGTATAGTGTTCCTAATATACATGTATATATACACAATATGTGCACATTTGCGCCCCAGATTCAGTCGCGTATATTTCCAATCTATTTATCAATATGTTTTCTGATACAATGCATTTCAAGTATGGTAAAGCATTGTTTGATTTTAACCGGAATGGCAGTATACATACACATCGGCTTAAGGCTTTTCATTGACTGAGCCGGTCGAAGTGTTGACCAATGAAATGCCGGGTGATTAAAAACGGGAATACCCGAGTGGATTCCAGGTAGCCGTCGAGGGTTATCAGAATGCTCTTGATGACCCGAGTTACCCCTAACTTGCAGTTGAGTTTATTTAATCAGCGAAGCGATTTTGTATTTCGTCACCCTAGGATGTTCAGTGTATCTGTGGTATTAAGGATGTACTGGACGAACTACCCAGGTAGGATTTTATGAAGATTTACCATTTTGCCTAAGTCTTGTTTAGGGAGTGATAATTTTTAGTTACAACTGGCAATAACGCCTGTTCTCTATTTACGTCTATAAATATCTCTGTTCTCAAGCATGAAATAACATCATCAAGGACGTCAGTATAATACTCGGTCAATCACGTGCATTCCTTCTCCCGTAGGAAATTATATATAATCACGGGACATATGTTAGGGGTCAGTGCCTCCCTACTGGTCATACTGACCATTTGTTTAGTTAATTACAAAATTACTTAAATTAGGGGTCAGTGCCTCCCTACTGGTCATAC